CGGTTTCTTGTTACCGGTAGCCGGTTTCATATGACCCAATGATAAGTATTCTTGAATAAATAATTTATAATGTTCTGCGGTATTATTTTGTTTTGTGAATCGTCGTTCCAATTGTTTGAATTGCGCAATTGCTTTTTGTTTCGATGTGCCCAAGTCTTTTTCAATGTTTGACTTAAGGGGAAGTTTCACTTGGTATCTTCCATCCTCGCGTCTTGTGGTTGTTGATTTATACAAATCGATGCATGCTTGATCTTCTGACGTGAGAGTAGACTCTTGAGTAATGTCCTCGATCTCCCAAAACTGTTGGATGTTTTGTATATTATTTAGCAAAACATTGCACTGTAAAGTAACTTGATTAGCGCTTCCACTTAATATCCAACCAAATCGCGTTTGTTGGGCGATTGGCGAGTTATTGTTTTCTCTGCAAATTCCGTCTAAGATGATGTTTGAGTATACTTCTGCTCCCAGAAGTATATCTACCCGCCGACTTTTGTAGAATTCTGGATCTGCTAACTGTATATTTTCTAGGAATGACCATGACGGCTTGTCCAAGGTGTATTTTGGCAAATTATTGATCAGAGTTTTCATTATGAGAGCTTCGGTATTAAGTGTGAAGTCGCTATTATTGGACTTGATTGTTAACTTGATCACGCCTTTACAATTGTTTTCCTTTATGCCGATCCCCGTTATGACCCCTTTACACTGACTTCTAGGTAGTGATAGAAGTTGAGCTGCTTTCTCCGTGATAATTGAGGTCTGGGATCCTTGGTCCAGGAGTGCTCGGAGCTTGTAGTAAGAGCCATTGTTAGCTTGAACTTGAACAATAGCTGTAGCGAGCAGTATCTCTGGCACGTCCCGCTGCTGTGACACGTGCACACTGTTCTGGTTCTGCTGGACAGCATCTGCGCTGCTTGATGAGTTTCCCTGGTTAACCGTTCTTGATGAGCTAGGTTGGTTCATGGTTTTAGATGTTACGAATGCTTCGTGCAATATTGTGTTGTGCTGACCTTGGCATTCGCGGCAGCGATTCTTAGAAATACACTTTCCTTGGTGATGGTTTAGGCAGTTTGAGCACAGCCGTAATCTTGATATGGTACTGCGTCTCTGCTGCGGCGTCATTGCTATAAGTTTTTGGCAAAAATATATTCCATGGCCATTGTTACAGAGCGGGCACGTGATTGTAAACTGATTACTTGTTTTTGCATTTGTTGGTTCTGTAACATTGTAGTTGGAAAATACTTGGTATCTTGATTTATTATGCTTCACCGGGACCTGACGTGATGATGGTTTTTGCGTGGTTGGTTCTTGTTTTCTACGGGATGTTTCCAACGTAGTGAATTTTCCTTCCAGGAATGCCAAAAATCTTTGAGCGTCGGTAACTCACGTGGTTGTTCTAGGGATTCATTGTAATCATTGAATGTTTCATTGTCCAATTTTTGTGACAGTAAGTGCACCAGCAATGGATCCCACGTACTGATATCAACACCTAAGTTTTTCACGGCGTTGAGTGTCTCCAGAGTGGTGTCACGAAGTCGCTTGATCTCGCTGATAGCTTGATGTTGTTGTATGATAGGAATATTCAATAAGCTGTTGATGTGCGAAGTAAAAATGAGTTTCTTGTTGTTGTATCTGTGGTTAAGAATTTCCCAGCAGATATTATAGTTTTCAGTGCTGATCGGAAGATGCTGCAAAAGCCTTGCTGCTTTGCCTTGCACCTTAACTTTAAGAAATTGCATTTTCTGTGCGTTTGATAATGATGGGTTATTATGGATAGTATCAGTGAAGAGGTCCTTGAATGATGTCCACTGATGATAATTTCCTACAAAAACAGGTATGTCCATCTGGGGGGTTGATTTTTCCCGATGGGACACCGACCACAGCTTGCTGTTGATGGATCGTTTGGTGGAATTATATAGTTGTTCATAATATGAAAAAGTGCTCTCATATTCTTGGTTGGCTCCTTGAACTTCACTGTCGATGTTCCAGTGCAGACTGTCGATAGCTGACCATCGCGACTGCAAAGAGCGGAGGAGATCTTCCAGCTCCCATTTCTCCGTCACATCGTCAAGATTTATGTTAGAAACTGTCCTTTTAAATGCTCTGAAGTTGCTTGATTGCTTCTTGAATAATTCATCTGTCTTGCTGTTAGTTCCCTGGGACTCCGTTCTAAATGAATGTTGAGCTCCCGAAGTTGAGGGACCCATTGGAGTTGCGGGTTTTATCAAGGGCGTTGAAGGTTTTGGTTGATGTTCCGACTTCGGTAAGTACGCTTTTATTGTAGCTGTTATATTCTCATAATTTGCCTTGGTTTTTTCATACGTATTGGTAGTAAAATAAGCATGGGACTTGTCTGGAAAAGCGCACAGTTCAACATGATTATTCAGGAATTCCTGCCAATACCCTTCTAAATTATTCAATCTTCGATTAATATAGTCGGGCGTCTTTCGCTCTTGACTATCTTTCTTAAAATTTACAAATATTTGATTAGTGCCATCGATAATTTGTTGTTGATTTGCTAGGAGATTTTCCATGCTTGACATTATTTGGTGAAGGAGTTGATACGTTAAAACCTTGGTAAAAAATCACTTACTTGTTTTGCTTGTTTTTGAAAATACCTTGATACGCTTGCTTGATATGCTTGTGCTTTGCTTGTGAAATCCTTCTGCTTGATGTGCTTGATGAATGCTTATGCTTGGTGTGCTTGAAGAGTTTTTGCTTGGTGTGCTTGGTGAATGCTTGCTTGGTTTGCTTGGTGAATGCTTGCTTGGTTTGCTTGGTGAATGCTTGCTTGGTTTGCTTGGTGAATGCTTGCTTGGTTTGCTTGGTGAATGCTTGCTTGGTTTGCTTGGTGAATGCTTGCTTGGTTTGCTTGGTGAATGCTTGCTTGGTTTGCTTGGTGAATGCTTGCTTGGTTTGCTTGGTGAATGCTTGCTTGGTTTGCTTGGTGAATGCTTGCTTGGTTTGCTTGGTGAATGCTTGCTTGGTTTGCTTGATGAATGCGTCAAATTTGCTATGCTTGTGGTATTCTTGATATTCTCGGTTTTGTGCTTGGTGTTATTACTGGTTCTCAGTATATTTGCAGACTCAGTACACGTAGAGCGCCGTCTCAATTCGGCTGGTGAGACCCGCTGGTGGGAGGCCAACCGAACCGATCGTACTGCACTTGAGATCCACAAAACACTGATCAGTCCTCGAAGGAACATAAAGATGTATGGTCTTGGTATACCACACACCTTTTACTTGATCTGATGATGAATGATTTAAACACGATCTTGAGAAAAACAATGATTTATTGCGATTTCACAATACACGAAACTTGGTAAAAATATAAGATTGAGTCACGCGACCGTATTAGTAGGCAAACACAAACACACTAAAAAATAAAATATTAATGAATGAGGCCAGTCGCGCATAGTGTCAAATTACTAAAATGATGACGCGGGAGAATGCACGGTGTTGCACCGTACACACACTGTTGCCCAAGGTGACACTGACTTATATATAAAATAGAAAGAAGAAATAATATATTGACTGGTAAAACCTGTAAATAATTAGATTTACTCACAGCTCTTAGTACATCTTGAAACACAACAAATTTTATCCGCGGCCATCACTAAACTATACAAACTACGTCTGACTATACGAACTGTGTCCGAAGGAAAGATAATCGAAGTCCCTTTCACGTGCATGGGCCACTATATTAAGCAAAGATAATCGAAGTCCAAGAATAGCCAAGTCGTAAGAAAATATAGGAAAATTATCAAAAATTCAAAACATTTAAAGCACAATCGTTACGTCAGAAAAACAAAACGCCAATGTCAAGTTAAAAAACAAACAAAATGGTGGTAGAGGGTGGTCACGTTTAGAAATTAAAACACCAATATTCCATCTTCCAATTAAACGAATAAACTAGACTTAAAGCAGCTAAATCCTAATAAAATTAGTTGTTTAACTCATTTTCTGGTGAAAATATCTAAATTCACATTAATAACACGTCGATTTAGTCAATGTGATACGAACATTTAATTTGATTTAATTAACTAAAACAACGCACTTCCGAACGTAAACTTACTCCAGCGCCGTCCTTTGGAGAGTTGTGGAACTATGAATATGCAATGCCATTAAAAAAAAAAAAAAAACAACCCTATCTCTTTTTTTCCAAAAAAATTTCCTTTTATTTTGGAAAAAAAAAAAAAAAAAAAAAAACCCAAAAAAAAAACACCTTAAAAAAAAAATTTTAAAAAAAAAAAAAAGGGCCCCCCCTCCGAGGAAAAAACCAAAACCAAACATTAACCTTTTACAAACCAAAAAAAAATTTTTTATTTTATTAATTAATAAATTATTTAATTTCTATAGAACAGAAAAATGTTCTAACTACAAAGGCCCTGGTGCTGACCACGCACTATCTTTGTTCTAATAAATATAACTGTCTGTGTTTTGAGAGTTGAGATTAGTTAGATATTGAATTGTGTGTTCTCAAAATACTAAGAAGTAGAACTTGTTAGTATTTTGTGAACTCTTTTCTGTGTATTTCATTGCGCAAATATGTCGAGTCCTGGAGTCGACCAATTTACACCGTCAGATACGCCATACAAACGATGTATCAATTGTTCATTTTTGATACCCAAAAACCTACCTACACATTCAATAGAACAAGCATCTACTTCAATGATTAACTTGTTACAGTCGTGAATAACTCATACTCAGATCCTCCTAAGCAGATCTTATTTTACTCTTTGAATATATACCTAAGAATTTCAGATCTCTACCATCGTACCATCTTACAAAACATTTTTATAGAATGAAAGAAATATTTATTTTAGACTGCACAGGCAATAACAAATGATTAACAAAAACAAACCTGTTTGAGGCCATAGAAGGCTTTACTCTTGATTGCATATAAATGTAACTTCTGTGAATATGTTACAGAAGACAGATAATGTCAAAAAGGTCAACAACACACTTTTTAATTCATGGTTTTTATTGCAGTTGTCTTCAGAATGTGTGCTTTGTACAGAGTGAAACTGCTTCAAGATCAAGCAAACACAATTAGTGAAGGATTGCCTGCTTTTGGTCATAGAAGTATATGTTTTACTTGTGGCATTTCTATTCTACGTGCAACTAGAACATATCCTGTAAGACAAGATCGACAAGAGAGAAACATTTTAGTTAGACATGTTCCGCTGCAACTGGTAAATATTTTTATTTATGTTGCAATATAAAAAAAGATCAACTTCTTATTAATGTTCTTATTTTCTCCAGGCTTCTACAATTTTTAGTTATAATCCTGTAATTAGATGTGTTTATAATATTGAGTCCCAATAAGTGAAGGTTTCACAAATAAATAATGTTGTGGGTATTAGATGATATTATTTATTTTAACACAATTACTGCCCGATCAAGATCGTACGTGGAGAGCCATGATGCAACTAAATTAGTAGTATATTGCTGCTGTGTTTCGTATAGTGAGTGTAAAGAACCAGAGATCCTTTTTACTGGGAACAAGGCCTTCCCTCGTAATCCTCAGGGATGACAATGCATCTGCATTTTGATTTGTAATCGAGAATAGATTTAGAAGTCTATGGGCCACAGTAAATACTAATTACCTTCAGGTGGACTTTGTGCTCGTTTGTCATCCTATCTGATAAAAAATATATGCCTAACATTTACATCACATTACAATACACACTTTTATCAAGTTTATATCCCATTGTGAAATGTATCTTATTAGATGTTTAACTATGTTATTTTTAGATCTCAAGATTGGAAAGAGTATGTGTTGCTTGCTGAAGATCAGCTACAAGAGAATTGCAATTTCGTGATCAGCAGGACTCCAATCGCCCTAGTCTGTCAGAAGCTATTTTGTCCGATGTGGGATCAAGTAGCGATCTCAATATTCCTGAGCCGCCCCCTCTTCCACAACAAAACCTACACACTACTCATGTTAGATCCAATCCAACAATTAAGTCTTCTGTGTATAAGTGTCCGGCTAGCACATCCAATCACTGTATATTTGTTAATCGTTTTGAAACAGAACTTTTACTAGTACCATAATCTATCAAGGATCTGATTTTGATATCAAAGGATCTGAAGGACGTTATTACTTAATAATAAATTCTATGTGCCACCAGCAGCACGAATCTGTCCTCACCACCTGAATCATGGCCGTTGGAGCGAATTAACTTCCCAGCTAAAAGATTTTACTGGTTGTCAATTCGACTCAATTATGAGAATAATGCAGCGAGCTGCCTATTACCATATAGATTTCTCAAATATTTTAATTATGCCTACATATTTGTGTCACTTTTGGTTAGGCAACCGTTTCAGTATCATGAAAATAGCACCTTCTAGCAATGCTAATGAAGTTTTTGTCCTTTTTAGGGTTCCGTAGTCAACTAGGAACCCTTATAGTTTCGCCATGTCTGTCTGTCCGTCTGTCCGTCCTCGCTTAATCTCTGTGACCGTTAGCACTAGAAAGCTGAAATTTGGTACCAATATGTGTATCAATCACGCCGACAAAGTGGTAAATATATATATATAATAGATAAAAATTGGAAAAAAATGTTTTATTAGGGTAGCCCCCCTATATGTAAAGTGAGAAGTGATTTTTTGTAATTTCAACCCTAACGTGTGATATATTGTTGGAAAGGTATTTAAAAATGAATAGGGGTTTACTTAAATCATTTTTTGATAATGTCAATAATTTCGGAAATAATCGCTCCAAAAGTAAAAAACAATGTGTCCCCCCCCTCTAACTTTTGAACCATAAGTTTAGAAAATATGAAAAAATCTGTAAAGTAGAACTTTATAAGGACTTTCTAGGAAAATCATTTTGAACTTGGATGGAAACAGTTTTTGTACAAAAAAAGACAAAAAGTTGTACAAAATAATATCTAGACTAAGTTTGTAGTATAATTGTATATGCAAGCATTTTTTTAACTTCGTTTACATATTTTATTATCCTGAACGTATCTTTTTTCAAACAAAAAAAAGAATTATTAAAATCGGGTCTCGCAATCCAAAATTACCACCGAAAACTTCTGGCACGTCTATGTATTAATTAGTAACCTAATTCCCCGAGAGATGGCGCTGTAGGTACTTATTACATTAGGTCGGGTATTATCGAATTGTTCGGTTGGTCTCTCCTTGGCATTGGCGGTATCTTATAATAACATAAAACTTCTATCAGGAACATGCTAAGGCAATTTAGAACAAAACTAAAATTCATTTTTTAACGCCATCAAAATGTTAAGGTAAAAACTAGTTCATAAATGGTTCGATAGATGGCGTTGCATAATGACGTCATTTTTTTAAAGTCGATGTTAATATTTTCCGTGCTTTCATGACCTACCGTGGTAAAGGAAGTTGCACTTAAGCATATTCGTAATCTTATGAGTGCACAATCTAATAGTCGTCGAGGTTTGATTAAATTAGATTGTGGGTAAAATTAACTTCTTTTGCGGATATTGTTCATATTAATTTTGTATGTACGCACAGTACGCAGTTACTTGATACGTACAACTCCTAGCTAATTACGATTTGAAGTGGGCTAGTTTGTTAAAATAGTGTGAAACACACTTGTGTATAATTACTTATTTTCCGGTATTAAAATGTTCTCGTATATTTTAAACAGTAATAATCATCTTGAGGACGACGCTGTGCGCGCCTTTCATGATTTGTTAGCCCAACACACATCGTTTCGGCCTAGAGAAGTGTCTCTTTTTCTTTATCCGGAACTAATAGATCCTGTGCCTCAAAACGAGTCTCATTTACAAATTATATATGGCGGAGAATCGGGTTTGTGGGGCATTGGAATTGCATTTATTACATCAATGGAATATTACGGGTCTATGATAGTTTATATAATAGTTTAAGTCATTCGCAGCAAGTTTACGTTAACGAACTATTCCCATACTTGGATAATAATAAAATACAATTCCCTAGTGTCCAACGTCAACCAAATAATAGGATTGAGTGTGGGCTATTCGCCATTTGTTTTGTCACCGCTTTAGCTTTGAGAGTTAATCCATCCTGTATCAATTTCATTGCCGAGGACATGCCACGTCATTTGTTTGATATGTTATCTCGAGGTTTATTAGAACTTTTCCCATCAACTAACACCGCAAGAAGAGCTGGCCGGCCACCAGCAAATTTGTTCCTTAATATACTAGCAAAGAAAGAAAAATGTAAAATTAAGGATGCCGAAAAGAAAAAAAAACAAAAGGTCTCAAAAGACACAGTCTCAAGAAACTGAAAGTCAAAACTTTAATTACAAGAAAAACATTGAATACCCCACATTTACAGATAATACGTAGATATTTGAAAGTCCAACGTCCACAAGTAGTACGCAGATATTTGAAAGTCCAACGTTTACAGGTAGTACGCAGATAATTGAAAGTCCAACATTTACAGATGAATCACAGAACGACAAACATCCGACTAAGGATATCCAGACCATTGACTGTTTAGCACTTACGTATAGACAGCACATACATTAAGACATGCCAACAACGAACATACTGGGTCCGGCTAAGTCAAACGTAGAAGAAAAAATACTGATTACACACAGACTAAGCAAATACGAAATACTGAGAGCCACAGGGCCACTCGTCAGATTCCCGTCATTATACAGGCAGAGCAACAACGCAACACCCTACGTGAAAACCCTATCTTCCGGGATACAGAACAGCAGCGAGACACGCAGGCTCACCGTGAAGCTCGAGAAAACCCTATCTTCCGGGATACAGAACAGCAGCGAAATACGCATGCTCAGCTCGGGAAAACCTAGTCTTCCGTGATATAGAGCAACGGCATGATACCCAGGCTCAGCTCGCGAAGATCCACATTATTCACAAATTGAACGAGCTAGAGACACCAGAGATCGACAATCGGCGCGTTGTAATTCTATTAATGATTGGGATAATGTTAAACGAAAATATTTTGATAACACCAAGGAAGGATACAATCATCTTTGTTCATGTTGTGTAGATTATGGCACAAAAATTCTGTAAGGAAACTAATAAAGCATTCTATTTCGACTAAACATAATGCAGAATTCGCGTTAAGTGTATTTAATTTAAATCCTTGTGATGAATCTGCGGAGTTTTGCTGTACGTGTGCTAAATATATAACTCAAGGGCGAATGCCACGATTGGCAATAGCTAATGGATTGAAGTTTCCAGATATTCCGGATGTTTTGAATGAATTAACTTCAATGGAGGAGAGATTAGTAAGTCCTCCTCACGTATTTTTGAAAATAGTTCGTAGAGGCCAGGGATTAGGATATCAGCATGGTTTATCAGGAAATGTTATTAATGTACCTGTAAAAATTAATAACATGGTAAAAGCTTTGCCTCGGTCGATAAATGATGACAATGTCATCACTGTAGAGTTGAAGCGTAAATTCTGTTATAAACATGGTCGAAAAGAACAAGTCCGCCCGGAAATCATACGGAGAGCAGCGGAATATTTAGTAACTTGTGAACTGTTTCGGACATATGGTATAGAACTTGAAGGTTCATGGACAAATAATGAACCTGAAGACACTGTCGAATGTACCTGTAGTTCACCTGAGCAGGAGAGCAATGTTGATGAGATCCCTGATGTAAATCCTGGTGGCACAGAAACTCTGTTAGATGAAAACCAAGACTTAACAATAGTTATGGCTCCAGAAGAAGGTGAAAGGCCAATTTCCTTGCTTTTTGATCGACATCTGGAAGAGCTGGCTTTCATAAAAGTACATTGCGCTATTGAGCGAAAATACCTCGTGAACTTAAGTCATTCTGAAGTCACACGTTCAGAAATTTCCAGAAATGACAGGCGAGCTGTAAGACCTGATTACCTATTTACTGCCCTGAAAAAGCAACAAACTATTGCCGTCAAAAATAATGTTACGACCTGTTTACGCAAAAAAACTGTCAGAGGTGCCCCTGTATTTGCAAGTAATGTGCTTCAAAATAATTTTGTTGACAATTTAGTTCAACATGACGATGGGTATCGTGTTCTTGGAGGAATTAGAAATTCTCCTGCTCACTGGGAAAGTGAAAAAAAGTTGTTAGCAATGGTTAGACAGTTCGGTGTTCCCACTTTATTTTTAACTATATCTGCTGCTGAAGTGCAATGGATTCCATTATTAATTTTGCTTAGTGAAGTAGTTGATAAGAAAAAACTTACTGAGCTTGAAGCGGAAAACTTGCCATACGATACAAAAACTCGCCTTATACAATCCGATCCGTCCACATATTTTGAAATCAAATTAAAAGAAATTCAAAAAACCTGGTCCTGTTCATCTGGACCTTTCTTAAATTATAAAATCACTCACTTTTATTATCGCATTGAGTTTCAGCATAGAGGATCGCCTCATGCTCATATGATGTTATGGTTAGACGAAGCGCCCACTTTTGTACCCGGTGATACAGCATCTGCTTATGATATTTCCAAATTTGTTGACAATATTATTTCCTGTAACAACACTGAAGTACCTGATGCACTTAGACGCCGGCCAACATCAGATAGACTGTGTCGCTCTGGACTACCATTTTTCCCCCTGGATAAAACAAAAGTATTAATAGAACTTTCAAAAGACGATCCAGAGTTCAAAAAATCAAAACAATTGGCAAAAGACATCTGCCAAAAAATACAAAATATTACTGCAGGAATATACACTTTCGTTGATTTTTTGGACTGGATTAGAGTTAGTTATGAAGATTACATTTTGGCTATTAGAAGCACTTTAAAACGACCTACGGTAGTCCTTCAACGCAGACCTCAGGATGTATTTATTAATCCTTTTAGTAAAAAAAATCTTAGCTTTGCACAAAGCAAACATGGACATCCAATTCATATTAGACCCGTTTGCGTGCGTAGTATATATTGTTGACTATATTAACAAGGCTGACCGAGGGATGTCTCGTCTTTTGCGTGAAGCTTTGGACGAAGCTAAAAAAGGAAATAAAAGTGTTAAAGATTCATTAAGAACAGTATCTAATGTATTCTTAAATTCTAGTGAGATCTCTGCTCAAGAGGCAATCTATGTACTGACTGGTTTACCGCTGTCACGAGCTAGTGAAGCTGCAATGTACATAAACACTAGTTTGCCACAAGAGCGAGTGCATATTTTAAAAAGTTACCTTGAATTGCAAAGCCTCGAACCTGATTCTTCCGATATATTCCAAAAGGGTATTATTGATTATTATTCAAAACGACCACTATCGTTAGAAAACATAAGTCTTTCCCGTTTTGTAGCATATTACACTTATTCCAAAAAAACTCATTCAGCTAGTTCAATAGAAACTCTCAATGACAGTTCTCAAGCAATTGATTATTCCCAGGCTGTTGAAGAAGTTGAAGCGGAAGGGAATTGGATTTCTTTGCAAGATAATTTAGGATACATACAGAAAAGAACTAAAACTCGAGTAATACGATTTCGCCGGTACAGTTACATTGATGATCTAGACAATTTTTATAGGGAACAGATAATGCTATACATCCCTTGGTGAAGCGAGGAGGAATAATTACTAAATCCCAACATAAATATAAAGGACATATTTGACGAGTATAAAGAAAGAATAAAGGCCGAAAATAAACAATTCAATAAACTAAGTGATGCTGAAATGTTTGAAACATTGCTAACAGAATTCAGACATGTAGAATTAATAAACGAAGATGAAGATTTGCAAGGAAGAGGAGTCAATGTGGATGTATTTGAAGGCTTTGAATTTGAGATGCAAACAGTAGATATAGCAGAAGACCTCATTCCAGGCGGAAATCCCGAGCCGCAATTGTGTGGTGACCCCTCAACTTTCATTGCGCAAATGCCTCTCTTGTCCCATGACGATTTTTTGATTCTAACTAGAAAACTAAATGATGCTCAAAGAGACACGTTATTTCATATTTATCAACACTTTTCCATTACTTCTCCACATCCACTATATTTATTTATCTTTTTTCACTATATTTATTCTTTCTTTTGGTGGGGCTGGCGTTGGCAAAAGTATTCTGATTAAAGCAATTTGTCAATGCCTAACTCTCTTATTTAACAGAGAAGCTGGTAGTAATCCCGATAAATTAAAAATACCTTTAACAGCTTTTACCGGTAAAGCTGCATTCGCAATAGGAGGGCAAACAATCCATAGCGCACTTGGACTTCCAGTGTCTCAAGCAGGCAATATTTTACCAGAGCTGTCGCCAAGTGTGGCCAATACTCTGGCCACAAAACCAGCAAAACTACGTTTAATTGTAATTGATGAAATTTCAATGCTAGGATCCAGGACATTCCATCAAATAAATCGTAGACTTCAGCAAATATTTCATTCTTCTACCTTCTTTTCTGGAATTTCAGTGATAGTAGTTGGAGACTTCAGACAATTACCATCTGTTGGTGACAACTGGGTGTTTCAAGCTAATTCTCGAAATCCTTTAGCAGAAATAGCAGGTACGCCGCTTTGGGATTTATTTGTACTGACAGAGCTTAAAGAAATAATGCGTCAAAGGGATAATGTTGCCTTTGCAACGCCATTAAATAATATGGCTAGTGGATGTATGTCACCTGAAGATGTCAATTTAATTGAAGGTCGGTGCTTTAGTAACTCATCACTTCCAGACACGTGTAAGGGCGCAGTTATCTATTCAGCTTTTTCTTATTCAAGTTGATGAGCATAATTCTAAAATAAAATACTCTCAAATATGACTACCGAAGGAGCGCTATCCCGGGCTGTGGATAGAGTAAGTGGCGAAGCTAATCCTGCTATGAAAGGAAAAGCTCTCAACACAGTTGCCAAGTTACCTACGTCTCAAACCTACGGATTACCTAATGCTATAACTTTAAAAGTCACGGCTAAATATATGATGACAGTAAATATTAACACGTCAGACGGACTAGTGAATGGAACCACGGGGTTACTGACTGCGATTGATTTTGCAGTCAATCCAACTACCGGTGAGAGAAGACCATTACGCATTTGGATATGTTTCGATGACGTAAATATAGGCAAATTAAAAAGAATTCAGAGCTCAACATCCCTCACTCGTTATCAATAATTGGACTCCAATAGAGCCAGTTACGAACACTGTGAAAAGGTACAAATCTTCAAACTTACAAGTGCGTCGCAGTCAATTCCCACTAGTTCCCGCTGAAGCTGTTACTATACATAAAAGTCAGGGTTCCACCTTAGAAAAAGTTGTAGTACATTTAAAGCCCAATATTTTAAGATCTATGTTATACGTCGCCTGCTCACGTGCCACTAGCGCTCAAGGCTTATTCATTGTTACCGAGACCTTTCGTCCTCCACGTCCACCATCTGAGCATGATTCCGTCGTAACGGAAATGCGAAAATTAAAATTAAATCCCCGATTCCCATATATCGCTTTTTAAGAGAGCCCCGCAGTTCCTGCCAAATTATGTTCCATAACGTACAATCTCTACGTAAACACTTGCAGGATGTAGTAACCGATCCGCAGACGATGGCATGCGACATTTATTTTGCCGTAGAAACTTGGAGTTGCCTTCAAGATATATTCAATATGAATAATTTTGAAGAAAAAGTTCGAACAAATGGCCCGAAACAGTATTTTGTAAAACCCGGCTTTGGCGTATCTGCAATGATAAGACATAATCTAGAATATTCCAACCCACGATCTTACAGTGAAATTTCCGGAACTGAGCATTGTGCAGCAGTATCTTTTGAAGTAAATAATGTGAAAATAGTAGCCTTATATAGATCATGCAAATGCCCCAACAGCGTTGCAGTGGGTTTTATAAATAATTTACTGTCGCATAATAGTTCTTGCATTATATATATATATTTATTGCATATATATAAGACTACCTTAGTACCAGCAATACTGCAGTATTTAAATTACTAAATGACGCTGGTTATCACTCCATGTTACAACCCCTACCCACTACTCGTGGTGGGACTCAAATAGACAACATTTTCTCGAACTTTCCATGTGTGGTTGGAATCTATAACTCTTTTTTTTAGTTATCACCGCCCTTTGTGGGCCCGTTTTTAGTGTTCCGTAATTATTAGAGTTCCGTAACAAATAGCCTTTTTAAGTTGGGTTACCACTATGTTCGCGCTCCAGCGGCGCTCCGCGCTCCTGCAACTGCTCCAATGGATACGTCGCGCGCACTTCTACATGCGCTCCGCTTTGACACACTGCGCTTCCCTTTGTGTTCGCGCTAAAAACCATCACGAGTCGGAGCGCCTGCCGCGGAGCGTGCAATGTTGCACGCTCCATATTCGCGCACGTACCCACTACCGGGAGCAGTTGCATGAGCGCGGAGCGCTGCTGGAGCGCGAACATAATGGATACCCACCTTTAAACTCATAAGTGGGAACACTTATTGTGACGGACGGGAAACTATGGAACCCTACACTGAGCGTGGCCCGACACGCTCTTGGCCGGATTTATTATTTATTTTTACACAACCGATTGCAGCGGTTTCGTAGTATGTTAAAGATAAATAAATTGAGTTCAAGGGGACATCGCATATACCTTCTTTTAGTTTTATCCCTACGCCCCATAAGATTTTTATATTAGCTGTTATCCTTGGCGCAGTCTTATTTTTACAGGTTTTCTTATTTTTACATGTTTTCTTATTTTTATTTGTTATTGATAACAATAGACGAAAGATATAGTCTTTCAAAATAATTTAAAACATTTGAGTGAATATTCGAAGCATTGTCAACCCAATTAGTATATATAGATGCGAATTGAGATGAGAATAGTTCAAATACTTTTTTATCATCTGTAGCATTTACACTTACGTCAATCGTTCAAATAAGGTATGTATCAGTACCATCGCGTTTTTTTTTATGAATGACCAAATTGATTTAGAAAAAAATTGATTTAGAGATTTGCTAAAGTAATGGCTGTAGCACTCTGCTGTCATTCGTGTACAACGTGTACAACTTAAAAATCTTAACGCTAATTCACATCTATAGGGTTTTTATATTTTTAAAACGACACCCGACACCGACCGACTTATATTTTTTAAGGTTTCTAATGAAATTTTTATCGAACCAAAGTATAATTTATTATTCCTAATTTTCTTCTCTGGGACAAACTTTGATAGGCTTTAATTTTGCAATGAAATATATCATGCATTACATCTACACTTTGATGACTATTGCACATATTTTCCTAGTTGCGCTTTGACAATTCTTTATAATTTTTTCAAAATTCCCTTTGTAAAAGTTCAACTTAGTATTTTTATATTCAAGTAAACACCAGAATATTCAAGTAAACACGCGCAAGGTACCGAGATTTCGAGTTTCAACTTCAAGAAGTTTAGTTCTTCGGTTCGAGACTAGATGGCGCTAGTGCCGTCGACTTAGGCGCTTAACAATATTAAAAGAAAGTTTTGTTTCATTTATCAACGTACTTAACATCTACCTCCAGCGACGGATCTAATTGATTGATAATGCTTATGTTGTTATGAGAACAGCTCACCGTTTAAGATGGCGAGTTAGATAAAACAAAATCGAGAATTCGTTTTGACGCTTTAATTATATGATTAAGTTGGTGTAAGCCGTTAGTATTTGCATAGTCAATTACAATAATTGATTTAGTCTTGTTCGTTTATAATCTTTCGCGACATGACCTACCAATCTCCAGTCAATACCTTGGTAAAACAAAATATCCAATGATAGAATGACTATTATTTTGTCAAAAAACAAAACCGCAATTATCTAAAAAATGTTATAACATTGAATAATATACTGATGGCGGCAAACAAACACCACAAAACACTATCTAGCGAATAGTTTTTGAAGGATACATCGTATAGTTCTGACCTTTCACCCTCCGATTTTCACCTGTTTCGGTCTCTTCGGAATTTTTTGGGTAGTGTTAAGTTAAAATTAGAGAGGCCTCTCAAAACGTCACATTTTTTCGATCTAAGATTTCTACAGCAACGGGATTGTGTCACTACCTACAAGATGGCAACAATTTATCGAAAAAAATGGCAAATATATATTTTAATTAAATATCTTCCTGAATTCTTCTTGAGTTTGTGTATAAAATATAAAGAAACCTTTTCCCGGACCTTAAAGTTCAACATGGTATGACGGCACATTGATATTTAATAAATAATTAATTTCTGTTCAGAGCCGAGTAAAATTATATTGAAATTAATATTTTAAACAATTAAAATACATTAATGGGCATAAAGTTAAAACACATTTATTTTAGACATCAGGTATTGTAATGTAATGACTTAATACTTATTGTTTTAAAAATAATCAATATATATAAAATAATAGAATTACAATTCGAATACAATATAATAACAAAAATAAATTACTCCTTCTTCCTAGGCGTAGTTCCAAAATCATGGAAGACAGCTTTAAAGCACCCGATCCCTCAAAAAGGCGACGGCTTAGATCCGTCTAACTACAGACCTATTGCTCTTACTTCATTGTTCTCTAAAATAATGGAATCCATTATAAACTGCCAGCTCATGAATTACCTTGAAGATCGCCAGCTGGTTAGTGACCGCCAGGATGGTTTTCGACGATGTCGCTCATCGAGTAAACTTTTGGGTTACCTAACTCATAGATGGGTGGAGGCAGTAGAGTCCAAGGGGAGGCGTTGGCCGTTAGTTAGGACATAGCGACGGCCTTCGATCGCGTTTGGCACTAGGCGCTTCTTGCTAAGCTTTCTTCCTATGGGCTTCCCAAGAAATTGTGCAATTGGATCACCAGTTTTCTTTCAGATCAGAGCATCAAGGTCGTAGTAGTCGGTGCATGCTCCGATTACAAGTCCATTAACGCTGGTATGCCATAAGGTTACTTGCTATCAACAACGCTATTTCTACTGCATATCAATGATATGTTGCAAACCGGTAACATTCATTGCTTTGCAGATGACAGCACTGGTGATGATTTAAACACCGATCGTGCCAATATTTTTGGGAAAACATCGCCGAGTACAGAGAATAATATGTGTCTGAAATCGAGACTTTGTTGAACAAAGTCTCAGACTGGGGGCCACCAAATCAAATTCAGTTCAATCCCCAAAATACACAAGTTTGCGCGTTTACCCCTAAAATGAACCCCTTCGTGGTATCTTCTTAGTTTCATGACACTCCTCTTATTGTCTTAGCCAGTTTTGGAATCCTCGGCGTCGACATATCGAGTGACGTTCAGTATAGAATAGAATACAATAGAATAATTTTTATTCAATATTGATTACATGTAGTTCTTATCGAAAGTCATTTTTACTTTACCACTCTTGCGAAAAAACCTCTGTCCTCGGAAGAACCAGCAAGAAAACCAACGGATCTTTGTTTAAATAAATTTTACATACAATGTCATGGAAGTGACTACCTCAATACCAGTGGTTGTTTAATTAAATATTTAAACTTGATAATAGAGAGACCTTGTATATTTTCTAGAACTTTGTTGTTAATATCGTATACATTGTCTCAAGAATGAATAACTAACTCTGTGGATTAGAGAAACTGAAAGCAATAGCTTTTGTTTGTTCTTAGCCTTTACAAAGTATTTATCACTTTTGTTACTTAAGTTTAAAAATCAAGGAAATATAATCAGCAAATAATACTATATCATGATTATCCCCTACAAGGGAAGGTAAGTCATTAATATACCCTTAAAATAAGAATGGGTCAAAAATTGAACCCTGAG